AGCTAAATTTGAGAGCAATAAAGAAGAGTACGAGCAACTAAATCTAATTCTAGAGGAAGCACCAATAAAGAAAGCAATTAAAACAAATGAAGATAAGCAAAAAGAGATAAGAAGAGTAGAAAGTCAGAATACAAGCAAAGAAAAAAGAGAAAAGCAAGCAAAGACAGAACTAGAAAAGATTGGGAGAAAAAGAGACGAACTAAGAGAAGAACAAGTGAAGATCTAAATAAACCAGATTAAAAACAAAGGAAAAAGAAAGATAGTATATGAAGAAGACAAAATAGAAAGAAAAGTACAAACAAAAAATATTATCATAGAAGCAGAAAAAGAAGAAAATGATATGAGATATTAAGGAATTAAAGAGAATAGAGGGAGAAGTATTCTAAAGGAAAAGAGAAAGTGATATTATGATGAGGAGAGTAAAGACCCAGAAGGCTCAAAGAAAGAGATTTGAACTAAGAAAAACCTAAAGCGAGTACAAGCAGAGAAGAAAAGGCAATAACAATATGAGATATTCCATTACATATTTCAAGAACTTAAGTATTCAGAGCAGTAATACACATGGGAAGAGTTGCAAATATCGAAATGATTCAAGAAAGTCGTATGAAAATGAAAGCAGAAATCATATTTGAAAAATTGAGAATAAACAACTAAGAAAAAGAAGTCTGAGCTATACCATTACTGAACAATGTACTAGTTAATATCATACTAGGACTAAATAGCAGAGAAGTTCTTGAAAGCTGAAAACAATATATGACAAAATTATATAATATCCCAAGAGAAACTAATAAAGTACTTCTGTTTAGACAAATTAAGCACACAGGAGCAAAAACAGTATATATCTTCAAAAACACAAATGGAAATAATAAAGGATTCACTGTAGTTTCATTTAAAAGTAAAGAAGAGTTAGAGCAAGCAAGAAGATATAGTATGCAATATTATGACACAAGACTCTCTTGAGAAAATGCAGAGGCTAATGCTAATGAAATATTACATGATAGAGCAAGACAAAGGAAAATGAACTTGAAGCAGGAATGGAGAAACAAATAGCATGAACAAAGTGATATAAATAAAAAAGAAGATATAGCCAACAGCTACAAGAATAGAAAACAGTATGATAAGAAAGAAAATATACAGAAAAATGAAGGAAAAGAAGCTAGCAAGAAGAGAAAAACTGAAAAAAGCAATAGACAGATAAGCAACACAGAAAGCCAAGGAGATGATAACATGTCAATAATATACGTAGTTCAACTTATTCACAGATTAGAGAAAAAAGTAAGTAAGTAGGAGCAAAATGCTTCTAATCACTCCTGAAAGTAGCTAAGGTCCAACTACAGGATGCCCGTATAACTTATGAAGGAAAATTTAAGTATACAGAAAGAGCATATAGTATACTAAACTAAAGTGTTAATAGAAAGACAAAGAAGCAAGAAGAGGAGTTAAGGAGAAATGAAGATAAAGAAACGAAGTATGCATGGAAGAGAAAAATCAAATTGGAAGTGCACAATATTAATAGAATAAAAGGTGACATATTAAAGTTAAAACAGTTAGCAGATTATTGTAATGAAGAACAATTTAACATAGTAGGTATTGTAAAAACAAATATAAGTGAAAAAGAAAGCAAATGGTTTGATACAGAGAATGAATCATACAAAAGTTTTTGGATGAATATAGAAAAAGATAAGAATAAAGGATTAGGAATTGGCTGTTTAGCAGACCAGAACTGGCTCCGACATATAGGAGTATGCAAGAAATTTAATCCTTATCTTCTCAAAGCAGAGTTTTATTTTAGAAAAGTTATGATACAGGTGTGGGTTTTGTACATACCACCTAAAAATAAAAAAGTGATCAACGAAGTATACAAGATAATCATAGAAGAGCTTATCAAAAATAAGAAAAATATGTATAGCATAATAATAGGAAACTTCAATGCTGTACTCAATTATGATCTGGATACTAGTAGCAGAGAAAAGTGAGCAAAAGATACAAATACAAAAATCATAAAATGGCTAAGCAATCTAGATTATATTGAGTTGTTTTACTTCTGCAACTCAAGTTCTACTAAGTTTTTATAGACAAATAGCAATGTAGCAATACGAATTGATTACATATGGTACTGTCAAGATTTAAAGCCATTCATCATAGAAGGAGATATCGACAGTTCTGAAACAATAACAGATAGTGATCATAGTATAGTGTGGATGCAATTAGATAGTATTGACTTATTCAAAAAAAAGCGAATAAGAACTAAGAAAAGCTAAGGGGAAACAAGAAAAATCTATTTGTATCACAAGGCAACAAAAGAAGACTAGGAAGTATATAGCCAAAGAGTAGAACAGTTGCTGTTAAATACAAAAAGAAAGCAAAGAGAACAACAGTATAGATTACAGAATATAAAAAGTGAAAGCATTGATGAGAACTGGGAAATTGTAGCTAGAGCGATTACAATAGCTACGAATGAATGTATACTATCAACAAAAATACAAAACACAAAGTGCCAGATAAGAAAAGAAGTGCCTAAGTCAATATTATATAATAGAGCTAAAGTACTAGGTAAACTATATAGAAAGGGTATGAAGAACCTAGGAGATAGTACAGATGAGATTGAAGAATTGTTATATAATACATGTATTAGACAGTTAAATGATGAGTACAACATACAAATTCCTGAGCTAGCAGGCGAATGGAATGAAGAATGGTGTAAAGAGATAAAAGATTGGCAGAATATACTAAGAGAAAAAGCTAAAAAAGAAGTAAAGACAGAAAAAGAAAAGGAAATTAGAGAGTATATCGAGAGAAGATTCGCAATAGATATAGCAGAACCAAAAAAAATACTCAATAGTTTGCTAGAGAGGTACCATAGCAAAATAGTATTAGACAAAGTACTAATTAATAGTAAGAGTAAGTTTGAAAACAAAATATTAATTACAGGAAATGAGGAAGTAAAAGAAGAAGTAGTATGGTATTTTCAGAAGCAATTCTGACAAAGAAATCACAAATTTAATAGAATGAAAGAAGAGTAGAAGAAAATTTACAAAAAACAAAACAATATTAAAGAAGAATGGTACAAAGAAGTAATGACAGAAGTAACAGAGGAAGAATAGAGAGAAGTAATATACTCATTGCAAAAAGATACAGCACCTAGAATCTCCAGTATTGGCTACAAGCTAATTAAAAATATGAGCATAGAAAGTACAAATCACATGATTGACCTTGCAAATAAGGTTATTGTAGGAGGAGAGTTCCCAAAGAAATGAAAACTTGAACAGATATACTTAATTCCTAAAAGTAATCACTAGGAATATAATCTGGTATCCACTCATCTAATTATGCTACTAGAGATATTCCGCAAACTAGTAGTCAGAATTATGCAAAAAAGACTTTGCAGGGTAATAGTACAAAAGAAAATACTTAAAGGTGCTAATTATACAGGTTTGCTTAGAGAAAGCATAATAGCACCAATACATATCTTGAATAATGTGATCAAAGATGCTATACAGAAAAACAATGAACTCTGGATTGCATTTCAGAATATGAAAAAAGCTTTTAATTCAGTAAGCATGACTGCACTTGAGTTTGCAATGAAGAGAATAAGATTTCTTGAAAGTCTAATTAAGTTCATTAAACAGTTATATAAGGATTATGAAATAAGAATCATTACAGACAATGGACCAACAAGTTTTTTTATAGCAGGTGATAGAATTGATCAGGATGAAGTAATATCTCTTCTAATATAGAAAATTTTTTACGATCCACTATTAGTACGAATACAACAGGCAAGACTCAGCTATGAAATGCATCTTAAATGGCTATCAGAATAAGCAGAAATATTATGAGAGATGAGAAAATCAAGGTTGTAGCATTAGCCTATGCAGATGATACTACATGAGTAGCAAACTCGAAAAATTTATTGCAAAGCATTATAAATATCTCAAATAAATTTTTTGAGCTCAATGATATAGAAATTAACAGAGCAAAGTCTGAGCTAATCATATAGAAGCCAAACAAAAAAGCAAAAGTGACAGAAGAAATTTGAATAGGAACACCTTCTGAGTTCATTGAAGCCAAAAAAGCAAAAGAAAGCACAAGGTTTCTTGAGGTTTGGATAAACCTTAAGAGACAAGAAAAGGCAAGCAGA